TTGAAAACTTTGAGTTTTAACGATAAGGACAAAATAAATGGTAAAGTGAATAGTACCATGATTGACTTTTTAGTGTAAAAATGTGGTTTTTCGTTAAAGTGAACTGTACCAGAAACTTTTTGTTAAAGTTCTTTTGTTTTGAACGGGTTAAGAAGAGGAGGGAGGGAGAGAGAGAGAGAGAGAGAGAGAGAGAGAGAGAGCGCACTAGGAGAAAAATGTGAAAGAAAGAGGAAGGTGGAAGGAAAATTAGGGATTACCTCTACAGCTGATAGGGAACTAAATTGATTTCTCCCACATGGATATTTGATATTTGCTTGTTCTTGAAACATCTTCATCATACATCTAGACTAAGCTTTCATACAAGGAACATTGCAACTTTGATGCGTCGAAAGAATTATCAAGGAATAAAGTATAATCCATATTTCAAGGGAAGTGTTATTGGCACTTCAAAAATCTTATTCTACACTCCTCATAAATGTATTTTTCTTTCCTAATATAGAAAATTTGAAGTATAGAATAAGATTTTTTGAATATTAATAACAATTCCCTATTTCAAATATCATGTAACTTTAATGAAGTACTTTTGCAGTAAAACCTCATACATAAATCCAAATCCTAAATCTTGCTCATAAGTACCTAAAATAAATTTACACCAATACTTCTATATTATGAGTTCATCTAATAAAGAAAATTTAAAGCAATTCAACAACTTCCTTTATTTCCATATTAACAAATCATCAGCTAGTCCACAAACAGAATAATTTTCAGACCAAGAGAAAAATAAATAAATGAATCAATGGTAGTACTCAAACTACAAATTAATCATTTATATAATCTCGATAATATTCTCGTTTAGTGAATATAAATTAACAATCTGTTAACAGTCTAAACTATCTAACAAGAGAACATTACTTATTGAGCTTTACCCTAGATTTGCAAACGGAGTCGGCACTCTGGGTTCCAATGGTGATAGAAATGTTGCAATCGGTATAACTGGTTGCCTTCATCTTAAAGATCTTCCACAAGTTCACCTTGCCGTGCAGGGTAGTTTCTGAAGTAAAATTCAGCACCCCAACGACCAATTCACCCAAGAAATGCGAATCAGTTACCAATTTGTCAGCCAAAATACTCAAAACAGTGGTCATGTTGTGAGTCGAACGAGCCGGAACTGTGTCGTCCTTGATCGGAGCTTCGGCGACAACATTCCCATGGTAGCTGATATGAGCTGTACTATTCTCATACTTGAAGCCTCCATAATTTGGATTTTTCACCGTGACCAATATTCTTATCGATATATTTAACTTTATAACTGGGAAACCTACAAACTCAAATCCCTCTAGGCTTACCGGCTCGGTGAAAACCGAAGGATCTTTGGGTTTTAAAATTGTGACGAATAGAACGACTAGAACAACTAAGGTGATGATAAAGAAAATGCCAGTGACAGCAGCAAAGATTTTCAAGCATTTTCGAGAGCCTGCTTCCATGATTAAGGAAATTAGGGAATGTCTGATTTGATTTGGATCAATGAAAGATATGTTTTATGTTGATTGAAAAACTTTGTTTCACGTTGTGACGATGTTGTATATGCAAGGTTGATATGATTTAAACAAGAACAAAAATGTGGTGTGATTTTGTCTGGTTGTATTTTTTAATTGATGGAGACAACAATGGAGGAGTTTGTAACAATGAGTTTGGAGGACGGTTGTCGGCCATCGTTTTTCATTTTTGTTTGTTTGTCATAACGTGGAAAACAGTTTGGGCCAGAACATATGACAGCAAATGGGTTGGATCGAGATTTGGAAGCCAAGCCCATTGATGTAAGACAAGAATCGCGTTATTTTACATATAGTAAAATTAAAAGGAGGAACCTACGTTTAATAATAAAAAGTAAGAGTAAACTGTCATTTAACCCCCTGAACTATCACGTGAGTTTCAATTTCCCCCCTGAACTATTTTTTCAGCCAATTGACCCCCTAAACTATGTTAAAGTGGCCAATTAACCCCCTACCGTTAAGTATCTTTAACTCCATCCAATTTTCTGTTAGAAAGTGTCATGTGCTTGGCACATGACCACCTTTTAACATTTTATGTCTAAATCTTTACAAAGAAAACATATAAAACAAATATTAAAAAAAAAAACATACAAACCCTAAACTAAATCATTCAAAATAATAGAAAAGGTAAGGCTTTTTATATTAAACACCCATAAAATGTTGAATGCACCCCATATTAAAATTTAATATTAAATGACTTATTTATGTAATGACAATTTTGACCTTATTAGATTTAAAAAAAAATTATAAATACACCCCAAATCACTTTTAGCGTATTATTTATCTTCTCAACTATCAAAACCCTCTCATCCTCCATTGTTGAACAAAACCCTAACCAATGAAATTACAAACATGTTGATTGAGAAAAATTGTTTTTGACGAATGAAACACGAAATCGATGTTTTTGAAGCTTCACATGAGGTAAGACTTCACATTTTTCATTGTTTTAGTGATTTCGATGACATCGATAATTATTTAATCTTGCGTTAGCTGCATTATTTAAACTTATATATTCATATTCATATTCATCTTTTAGGGTTCATATTGAAAAATAATGCAGCAAACGCAAGATTAAATAATTATCGATGTCATCGAAATCACTAAAACAATGAAAAATGTGAAGTCTTACCTCATGTGAAGCTTCAGAAACATCGATTTCGTGTTTCATTCGTCAAAAACAATTATTCTCAATCAACATGTTTGTAGTTTCATTGGTTAGGATTTTGTTCAACAATGGAGGATGAGAGGGTTTTGATAGTTGAGAAGATAAATAATACGCTAAAAGTGATTTGGGGTGTATTTATAATTTTTTTTTTTTAAAACCTAATAAGGTCAAAATTGTCATTGCATAGTGGAGTAAATAAGTCATTTAATATTAAATTTTAATATGGGGTGCATTCAACATTTTGTGGGATGTTAATATAAAAAGCCTTACCTTTTCTATTATTTTAAATGATTAAGTTTAGGGTTTGTAAGTTTTTTTTTTTTTAATATTTGTTTTATATGTTTTCTTTGTAAAGATTTAGACATAAAATGTAAAAAGGTGGTCATGTGCCAAGCACATGACACTTTTTAACAGAAAATTGGATGGAGTTAAAGATACTTAACGGTAGGGGGTTAATTGGCCACTTTAACATAGTTTAGGGGGTCAATTGGCTAAAAAAATAGTTCAGGGGGGAAATTGAAACTCACGTGATAGTTCAGGGGGTTAAATGACAGTTTACTCTAAAAAGTAATTGGAAATTTGACAATTCAAGGGTTAAGAGATTGTTTGTTGCTTCCATATTTCGAAAGTTGATGTTTTGGACTTTTAGTGATGTCTGGACTAACGCAACTTTGATTTGGGCCTATAATATATGGATTCAAAGCGGACGACGATATTTACAAGACTTGGTGTTATAGATTCGGGCAAATTATGTTGTTTAACATGTTTAATTTGGATTTTATTATTTAAAGTACAATTTTTAATATTTTGTTATTTGTTTATTTCCTTTCCTATTTAGATACTTAGATTAAGAACATTAGAAATAGGAAGTAAGAGGCATAAATTAGAAAAAGAATCTTGGAACAACCTTTTCATTTATTAATTAGAAGCTAGAAAAGCAGGATATTACGGTGAGACGTGAAAATACCCGATTGCATTCCAACCTCGAATTGTGGAATCATTTTGTACCATACGGATATATATTGAGATTTCGAGAGACATATCCCAAGTCCAGTATAACTATATTTTTTTCTATTACTACTACTACTACAAAAATTGATAGAAATTTATAAGATTATAGTTGAAGAGAAAATTCTCCAATTGAAAAAGACCCTTGAAGGAAACCCATCTCTTTTACCTATGTCTGTGTATGCTCCCTCTTACAAGAAAACACATATTATTTAATTATATGGTGTTTTATTTTTGAAGATGGAGGAAGAAATTGAAAAACAATAATCTATATATGTTCCTTGGATTCAATCGAAAAGCTAAAAGGAAACGAAAGGAACGCATGAAGTGACAATTTCAGTGAGAAAATCATTTTTCATGATGAAATGTGGTACAAAGCCCTTTTTCAAGAGATACGAGGCATCAATTAGTAACTACATTTTTGTTCATTAATGAGAAATTAAGACAAAATGGTCAGTATGGTAAGACGTGCAACATCTAATTTCACTCCAACTTCAACATGTAGAATCATTTTGCGTTATATGTATTGAGATTATTCGGTAGACAGTTTGTCACATCTTGGTCCAGGTTCCCATCACATTTCGGGTTCGACTCCACCGTAACACGATATTGTCCACTTTGGACCTCAACCATGCCCTCACGGTTTTGTTTCTAGAAACTCAGATGAGAACTTCCCAGTAGGTCACCCATCATGGGACTGAAGCCAGTGAGCTCCCAAAAGGCCTCGTGCTAGAAAGATATGGGAATATACATATAAGGCTTACAAGATCCATTTAACTTCGGAGTTTTGATGAAACCCGAAGCCAGTGAGCTCCTAAAAGGCTTCGTGCTAGGAAGAGGTGGGAATATACATATAAGGCTTACAGGATCCACTCCCCTGGATGATGTGGGATGTCACAATCACACGAGAACTTCCCAGTGGATCACTCATCATGGGATTGCTCTCGCGCGAACTCGCTTAACTTCGGAGTTCCGATGGAACCCAAAGCCAGTGAGCTCCCAAAAAGCCTCGTGCTAGGAAGAGATCAGAATATACATATAAGGCTTACATGATCCACTACCCTAAACGATGTGGGATGTTACACAGTCCAAGTCCAGTATAGCAAAGGAATTGAAGAAGAGTATTTCATAACTGGACCTTTTTTTCTTCTAGTACTACTACTACAAAAACATTTGAAAGAAATTTGTAATATACAAGGTAGTACTCTAGGCTTCTGCCCTAACTAAATCAATTGTATCCTAGCTAGGGCATGATAAATGTAGGAAGAACATGATAATGCAAAACCGAAGTTAATTCATCACATAAGAAAAGTCAAAATTGAAAGGAATATCACAACTACCAAATTTCCATGATGCGAATTTCCATGTGATACTGGAAGTTGAGTGGGAAGTGAACATTCTTCCCCATTGAAAAACACTCTTGAAGGAAACCCATCACGTTTAGCTACTTCTATGTCTGGTGTCCGCTTCTTCTTAAAAGAAATAACAGACTGTTGCTTTCCAGGCACCCTAGGAGCTTTCGGGCTCGATCCATTTGTCTCCGCCACCAAAAAAGTCAAGCCCCTTAAGCCTTGGAGGAAGATGATGTCCTCCAACATCGGAAGTTTGGTCCCATTGAAAGAATATGCATTTTCGTAACCGGGAGAAGCTTTCTTGAGTTGCACTGCAGCAAACCAATCTTCAAAATTCATGTTAGCCCAATTGAATAGTGTCATTCTAGCTGTCCATCCATCCTTGTAATCTGATAAGACATGCCAATTTACACTAACTGGACAATTGTTCCCACAAGGCAGTGGCTTGGGCACGTGATGGTGCTTTATGCTTGCCCAAGCTATGGCCTTCTTCGTCCTATTTTCGAATGGGACGAGAAGAGTTTCCGGAGGGAGAAGAATTGCAGGGGCTTTCGGGTTGCATTTTTTCGTGTCGGTACAACCACAAGCACATGTTCTGCAGGGTATCACAGACTCATTGTAATAAGCAGAGAATGAAACACAACACTTGGGTTTCCTAGTTTTGGCCCTTGTGATGTTGCAAATTATTTGCCAGCTTGCAATAGCTAAGCTTGTAGACTGAATCCCACTTGGGTCTGGAAACTGAGCAGGGTCCACCCTAATAGGCTGCCTACATTTGTATTCCGGATTAAGCACCCCCTCCACTTTGAATTTTTCAGGAGGATACAGAGCCGTTCGATTCAAATCAGGAGGTACTTTGAACACCTGCATTTGAAAAGCAGCCTTGGTTTTGCTTTGATCCATTATAGCAGGCAAAATACTACCATTTCTGCAGCAATTAGGTATTTTCCCAACTTGAGTATCGTTTGCTTTCTCACGAGGTAGGTCTCCGATGACTGGATTTTTTTTGCAATTCAAGACCTTGGAGAAATCCATCTGTTGATAGTATTGTCCGGCAGCACCATATATGCAATTTAAATAGTCAATCGAACGCGGATAAGCACCTTTCATGGAATATATAAATTCCCCTCTCATCCATTCCCAAGTTAAGTTCCAATGGTCCAAACGTCCCAAAGGGCTCTTGTTCTCCATTGTCACCTGAGCAAGATAATTATTCTCATAGGCTTGAATGACATCATATGCAATTGTGAGATCACCCTTTTGTCGAGGCAAGAACTTGGTTTTCGTAACAATGGACTTATATTTAGGATTCCTAACGCAACAAACGTACATTGTCGTCTCTGTATGGCCATCACCAAATCAAGACGAGAAAAGAACTCACAAATTAGAATCGCAAGAGTATATAAATGAATGACGAGAAATTCTGTTGCTAGACTGTAAATCTGGATGACACATTCAGGTAAGAATCAGCGGGATGAATGAGTAGTACTTACTACGATTGGTTGGTGCAGGGCACTTGTATCCATCGTTAACAAGTCGAATTGTTTTAGGCATTGGGTTCCCTGGGGGCTTGACACCAAACATAGTGCCACTGATTTGAATGTTGGCTTGAATTTTGGTGTAATCTCCACCAGTGCCAATGGCGGTTTTCAAATCTGCCTGTCCTGCTCCAGAGAGGGTAGTCCCATTTCCAACATCAGCCGGGAAATCATCACCGTCCATCAAAACGGCACCACCTGCACCAACTAGAATCTCTTTGTGTTGAAACCCAACGTACATCTTCCAGCCTTTGAGTTCGTACGTGCCCGTGTTGACTATGGTTGCAGTCGCATTGAAGGCCCATGCTTGTTTCTCAGCATTCTTGAGGAAAGGGTAGATTCTTCGCCGGGAAAGGAAGTTATAGCTTAGGTAAATCCCGTCACAATCTTCTTGTGATGGGGGTGGTGCAGCAGGTTGCTGTTGCTGATCATCGCCATAATCTTGGGCTACGGCCAAAGAAAATCCAAAGGCAAACATGAGTGCGGCAATCCACCAAGCCCTTGTCATGTCTTTTTACGCAGCGTAACAAGCATAACACATCAAACGGTAACCCTACAACAAAAGCGTCTGGAATCCATCGGGATTTTTTTTTTTACATCACTTTTATTCACAATTACTCGGAAGTATAATGCGACATCCGTTTGATAGTTAGGAAGAATACGATTGAACTGGTTAATTTCTAATTAGGTAGCTTTTTGGAGGACTTGATTTGCTGGATGAAACTTGTTAACTTGGATTTTGCTAAATTGTTTCAAATTGTGGAGTCAGAGGGAAAGAATTGAGAAATGAGTGCCGAACGATGAACTCAAAAAAATTGAGAATTGGGAAGTGAGTGAGTGATGAATTTGTGGAGAATAAGTCAGATGAAACCTCCTCCCTTGAGCTCCCGCTGTATATGGCAAGGTAACGATTAACGGTCATTTGAACTTTATAAACTCTCTAAATAACTGAATGACAAATATATCCTGGATTCTTTTTGGCTCAAAAGGAGAATTGTCAATGACATTACTTTGGTGAGAGATCAAAATGTAATAGATGTTTCATGTTCATGTTGGTCACTTTTATTAATTCGTACTAATTTGAATTTCTTTGACATTTTAATATATAATTGGAAACCTAGACAAAATATCTAACGGATCATTAAAAAATCATAGTGTTATTCATATATCTATTTTTACTTCTCACACTCTTGTTAATTTTTTGCTATATATTCTTCAATTAATTTAATCTGACAGCCGAAAATTGAATGGGGTGGGTAAGAAGAAAAAATGGGTGTGGATCGCATTACACTAAAAAAATTGTTGTTTATGTTCACATTCGTTCATGCCTATTTTTCAGTTAAATACGGTGCTTAATGTTTGTAAACTGTAGTAGATTTGTGCAATTGAATCTATATATATATATATATATATATATATATATATATATATAGTACTTGTATTAAATACAGTAAATTTGTAGATGATGAAACACAGCAAATTTGTAGCCTTTTTAAGTCTTATTTTATTCTGGTCATAAAACAAAATACATAGAGCCTAATGGCAAAAACCCATATTGAGCCGAAACCCTAATATCATCATGTCGTTCCACTCAACTGGTTAAGTTCAAACCCTAGACCCTGAAGTATTAATTCGTAAAACCTTATTGTGAGTGACAAAACTAATCAACGATTATGCAACCAAAGAATACGTTGACACAGAGTTTGCGGAGGCTGGAATCCACTTCGACCACTCATTACGCCGTCGTATCTTATTACCTTGCACTTCTACGCTAGTTGAACCAAGCAACGACTCAAGAATAAAGGGTATGTCACTGCACATTCTCTTAAGCCTTTTGAAGTCGGCAACTGCTGATATTGGCACCCATCCCTTGTCATCCATCAACGAAATTAGGTAGCGGTCCTTTGTCAAATTTTCGTTGCTAAAATAGTACTCTATTTGTTGTATAATATTCTTCCTCAAATTCGATATTCTGGCTGGAAGGCTTTGATCATCAGCCATGATCATTGGAGCTTGAGGACCATAATAATATTGAGGCCCTAAGAAAAACGTAGATTCAAGTCCAACACCACATTGCATATGAATGTTGTAAACGCTAATTGGTTGATTCCAATAGCCACCACCGAGTTCTTGCATATTCGATGCATGGTAATTGACAGAGTAATTGTTTTGGGGTATTGGGTGATAAGTAAAAGTTTGTCCATGGCGCGTTTGGGACAAATTATTGAAGGGTGGGATGTGAAGTTGAAAAGGTGGTGCTTCAGGATTAAGGTTTCGTTTAGGCATAGACATCTTCAAGTTTTGTTGTGCTTGGAGGTAGGAGAAGAAGATAATCGAGAGTATTTAGTTCTCTGAGTACTACTACTGAATATATAGTGAGAGTTTGGGACTCAACCCGTTTTTATAGTGTTTTCTTGCCTTAGTAGTTTATGGAAAATTAAAAATCCTTTTCCTTGGTGGAAATCAAAAAGGGTATTTAGTTTGTAAAAAGGATTACGGTTTCATACATCCTAACCAGAAAAGGGTATTATTGCAGTATAACCAACATGTGTTAGGATTCAATTTTTCTTTACTTCTGTTGTTTCCTTTTTCTTTGGATTTCTCTGTGAAATCATGATCCTATACAAATTCAATCCCACTACGGATACCCCTTTTCCCATCCGGGATTCTCACAAAGTCGGCAACACGATGGGTTTAAAATATGTAAATTTCACAAAACTAAATCCCAAAACCAATAGGAAAACCCACTATCGTGCACCAGCACAACTAAAACCTCACTTGCACGCTTATTACAAATTAAACTAAAAAGCAAAAAGAAAAAAACTCTTGTCTTCCTAAACTGGTCGTCGCCCTTTGCCACAATGATCATCCACATTCACATCTTTGTTCCAAAAAATTTCTCCCACCACTTAGTTTTGCATCATGCATGCATTTCTAAAATTCACATAAGCTATGTCCAATTTTTAAGAACTTAATTCCTTCACAATCTTGTGAACATGGTAGAGTAAGCAGAACATACGAGCATCCAAAATCGTTGCTATGCACATTGACAGTGCCTTTTAACTTCTGATTGATCAAACTCATAATCTTGCACTCTTTCTATGTTGGCAGGTTCTGTATTGCCTCCATTTGGGTGTACGCAACCGCATTCTACTTTGATCCTCGTGAAGATCTTCCCCCCGAGCTTGACGAAGATTTGACCTTTTTTCGCTTTGGTTTCTTGGGCACGTTAGGAAGTTCAGTCGGAGGAAGATCTCTGCACGGGCCAGATGACGGTTGTTGGGTTATGGATTGATCAAAATCTGTCACAAAAAAAAAATTAAAGAAACAAAAAGAATAAGAGAGGTTAAAGTGTCTTCAAAGTGATTCAATCATGCAAATTAAGTGGCACAATATAAAATAAAGGGTTCTTTAGGTATAAGTCCATGCAACACTTATTTCCTTGACAAAAACCCATCTCGTTTTAAACATCCAAATAAAACCCAAATTTGAAATAAATTGCCATGTAAACAAATAAATACCTATTATTTTTAAAATATTTACAATTGTGCCACAACACTCTAATTATGTTGATGAATTTAATTACCACCATAATTATAGCAAATAAGTGCTTTATTATTACAAAAGTATCTACTTTATACTTGTCTTACCATCATCTGTTCCATTTTTTTTTTGTTTGACAATCATTGTAGGTAAATTATTTTGCATGTATACGTTATTCACATTTTGTTGTTATTATATCTGTGTAAAATAAATTACCTATATTTTTAAGTAGAATAAAGGTAATTAATTAACTTTGAATCAATTGGCTAAAAACATCCTTTGATTTTGTAGGTAAATAATTTTGCATGTATTATTACATATACTAGGCACATTTGTTATTATTATGTGTTGTTTGCAATCAATCAACATTCATTTATTCAGTAGGTAAATTACAAAAGTATCCACTTTATACTTGTCTCACCATCATCTGTTCCATTTCTTATATTTGTTTGACAATCATTGTAGGTAAATTATTTTGCATGTATATATTAGGCACATTTTGTTATTATTATATCTGTGTGAAATAAATTGGTGAAAGCAACATACCACAACAAAGATACAACAATTATTTGAATTGCTAAAATTGAAAGTTAATCCACTACGTTAAGCTAAAACTATGTCTGAATAGTACAAGATAATAAATCCATTATCTGCATGTAATATTGCTATATCAATCTAAGACCAATGACATAATGACTGCGATAGTAATGTTCAAGCAAACCTATTTTTTAGGTCTTGAAACAACTTGAACGCAATCAAGTTGGTCGAAACAGTGTGTTTTCATCTCCGTAATAAAAAAAATGTCTTGAACTGATGGCCAAATCCAAAAGAAAAATTCTCAACCAAATGAAAGTAAAATAGTGGTACAAAAATCTCAAATTTAGCAACCCTGTGGACCACCATTAATTACCAAGACTAAGCTAGAGCTTTTTCTAAAGGGCCATCCCAAGCTATCATATTCCTCTAGGTAGGAAAGTGTGTGGTGTCCCGTGACAGAAGATCCAAAAATCTTGCAGTTGGGGCAAAGAATCTTGAAAGCTTTTGCACACCTCATAAATCTCATTAACATTAAACTAAAACAGACATTAATTACATTTCTCCTAAGACAATTGACACCGTGAAAAAACACTTGTCTCTCGCACAACTACACATGATAGGAGGCATAGTTTAATGGAACATATTGACAGAGCCTTTAAATTATTCATATGACACCCAGGTCCCAGCCATCAGCTCTGCATTATTTTGCCTAGTATGCATTCAAGCCTAATCATACGTACGAGAGAAATTTACCTATAATCGAACGTTAAATACAACAATATCTCAAGTCAATCAAACAATATCAAGCTTGTTTAAGGTACTGTCACAGTGGCATTCTAATCATAGGTTGTTATCCATACTACACAGTCATGTCATTGAAAACACGAAATGCTGAAACTGCTATATAGTGGTGATCAAAAGCATACCTTGAGAGGACCAAGGAGAATACGCCATGGGATTAGTGGACCCCATTCGATCACTGGCATTACGACCAAGGGAGCTCGTTGAAAAATCGGGTCCGTTTTTAAATTCGTTCATCTGCTTGATTAAAAATAATTAACTCAATAAGAGAATTATGAGAGCATTAAGAAAAGAAGCACATGATTTGGTTGGTAGGTTTGTAGTATAATCAAAACATGGGAGACACGATAAGACAAATCAATAACAGGAGAGAGATGTATATGTTGTTTAAGACAGGTAGCTAGGTTGTACGATACTATTTGCATCTAAGTTTGAATCTTTTCGCATAATATAGAACAAGAGAGAAAAAAAAAATTATTTTGCAGGTAGACTAGAAAGTAAACACGTACCCAGCTAGGTGCGCTTTCAGACGGCCCGTCCCACCCAATATGTGCGACATGTTTCACATCCGTTGGGAGCCCAATTTTCATTTCACGCTCCTTCACAACTGCAACAACAAAACCAATTTTACAGCTTAATTAGCCTCAAATTATCAAAATTAGGCATAATTATTATTTTTCTTACAGGAAAAATATTTTGGTTAATTACATACTTTAATCTACATGGTAGGGGATTCGAATTAAGATGCAAGTGGCACACTAGCGTTGCCAACTGGTCTAACCAATATTGACAAGGAGAATTGATTTGATACATTAGAGAAAGCGAGAGATAATTACGCACCAAACATTTGTGAGAAGTATTTCAAGATCTTTGCCATGGTGGAAATTACAAGCCCCAAATGAAACAGCAGCCACTTTAAGAATGCACACAACAAAGCTAAAGATTGGAAGAGATGGATCCTGTTGCCTGCAACAAAGTAAATATGTACTCAGAAAGATGAGATTTTGCATAAAATAATTTCAAAAGAGAA